GCTCCGCATGTTGCGACAAGAATTGCTGCCTGCCAGTAGATGTTTCTTGTCTATATGATCACTGCCACTATACGATCAATGCCAATAATCCTGCTAAAATTCACTTAGTTGTCATATATTGTTGGATTATACAACTGTAAAATACCTAAGTTTATCCAGCTGACAGTTTGAACTCTTCCGTCTGTCAGAGAGCAACTTCACTCCTGAATTGTGCAGGTCATTTTAGCTCAGGTGCAGATCTCTGAGGAAGCAGTTTGCAGACTGTACGCTGATGACAGAGTTGGACAATGCTGACAAGTAAGATTAGAGCCACCAAAACTAAAGGAGATGAAATACAGCACAAAACTGTAAGCAAGTGACACACGTCAAGTCAAGTCACCTTTGTTTATATAGCGCTTTTTACAATACAGATTGTTTCAAAGCAGCTTTACAGAGATAACAGGAAAATAATGTTGTAATGTTAAATTTAAAATTAAATTTAAAATTAAATGGGCATTAAAATGCACAACTGTGCACCGACACTTTATTGGCCTTTGCTCTGGTCAAATTGCACTTTTTATTGTATATTGCGTGTATTGTGTGTATCATGTGAATGGTTGAGGGCAGGGTTGCACTGTCTATTGTAGGATGTTGTGATCTGTTGTTGTTTATTTTTGCGTATGCACCTCGGTCCGTATGAAATTAAATTTCGTTCAGCTGTATACATGTATACGGAAGAATGACAATAAAGTTGACTTACTCACCTACTTACTTACTTAAATGTCCCCAACTAAGCAAGCACACACACTATTTTCACTGTGGCGGGCTTGAGCTCTCAGTATGGCGTTGTGAATGTGCTGTTAATGTCAGATATTGATTTTAAAAGAGCCGTCTGGAGATGCAATGGTCGGATCCTTTCATTTGCGGCCCGTCTGACTTACGCTCTCTCTAGAGAACTAACTACAGACTAAACCATGACTTGATAGAGCAACATGAGAAGAAATATTCCAGCTCTATGTGACGAATCTCACATTCTGCTTCTAAAGCATCAGAACCCTCAGCTGCTTTCATGGGAAGAGCATCACTGGACACTTATTTCTGCTCTGTGTTGAAATGATTTAGACATTCCAGCTGAATAATGTTTAATCGGACAGATTTTGTGGAGCTTCGTTCAGGTATCCTGACGTTGGAGGAAGGCTGAGACTGTTGTAGAGGACACACACACACACACACTGAGGCTGAGACTGTTGTAGAGGACACACACACACACACACACACACTGAGGCTGAGACTGTTGTAGAGGACACACACACACACACACTGAGGCTGAGACTGTTGTAGAGGACACACACACACACACACTGAGGCTGAGACTGTTGTAGAGGACACACACACACACACACTGAGGCTGAGACTGTTGTAGAGGACACACACACACACACACACACTGAGGCTGAGACTGTTGTAGAGGACACACACACACACACACACACTGAGGCTGAGACTGTTGTAGAGGACATGAAGCTCAGAGTACCTATTCTTCACTCCCAAATATCTGTGCTTCAGCATCATTATACAACACATCATATTTCAGCTGTCTTCTATCAGGACAAATAAAGGAAAGGTTCATAAGGACACAGAAATAGAGCTAGTGACACAGAAGTGGCTCAACTTACCCAACATTAGAGGTATAGTATGTTGTCACTGGGGGATTTGAGTTCAAAATAAATAAATAAAATATTAGTTTTTGTGCATTATCCCATGACAATCTTACTTTGCAGCACATTATTAAGAATGTCTACCATTCAGAATATTTCTGTCATGTATTTTGTATGGTTGTTCTACCCGTACCTGGGTGACGTCATGAACAGTCGAGTTAAATGAAGTTCCTAAACGTAAGTTAGGGAGGAGTGAGCCAGTCTAATCTTTCAATCATCAGCCTGAGTATATAAGCAGCCACTTACCTCTCCCTAGCATCAGCTGTTCCCGTATCCCTCCACCTCCCCAATCTCCACCTTCATCTTAGGTACCTCACCCTTTTAATTATCAGGTCCTACATTTAGCCATGAGTTGAAGCTGCTTCATCGAGCCCTTCTCCAGTGGACAGCAAGCCAAATGAGTTTAACCTAATATCTTAAAGATTTTATGGGCAAACAAACTCGTTAAATAAAACACAAGACCCTGCTGTGAAAGTCATCTTATGTCTGTCGTCTTATTCTTCACCTTAAGGGACTGTTCGTTTTTTATTTAAGGGGCCACCGGAGGAGATTTGAGATCTGTAGTCAAAAAAGACTTGACCCTCCCTTCGCCAGCAATAATTTTTTCTATGACCCTCCAAAATGATTGTAAAAAAAGGCATGACACTCCCCGATAATTTATTGATTACTTCTGTACTGGTTTGCGCTTGGAAAAGGTGTTCAGATAGCCATTGGTTTTTTTACAACCATGAAAAATGACTAAACTCCTGCTTTCTCATCTTACTAGGGCTGTAACGATAGACCAAACCTACAATTCGGTTCGTATCACGATTTTTGATTTGAAAAAAATCATGTTTTCGGTGCTGATGCAGTGGTGACGCCTTCATGTAACATGTAAGGGTGGCGCTGCCAATAAAGTATCAAAGCTGCCACAAAGAAAAAGCAAAAGTAATGATTATGAATATGTCAAATATAGCAAGGAGACATTTTAATTGTTTATTAATAAACAAGTCTTTGTCAGTGTCGGCTGCAAAGATGAAGTTGGCGATGTTGACTTGCGATCTTCGCAGTAGTGAACGCGCCAGAGAGAAATGCACATTTCATAGGATTACATAAGCCGAGAGCAGTCTGTAGTCGGTTTTCTTTCGTTTTGAATTGTTCTGTTAAAAAGTAGACATTTCAAGCTTTCTATATGTTTATCAGGTCTGTGAGGCAAGTACCTTATACGCTGAGTTTCGGTTCATTTATTAGACAAGAGTCCAGTTCACGCGCTGGCGCCTCCGTGTCATGATGATCTATTTTCTACTATATTTACTTCTTATTTATTAAATCCAGGCAATTGGTTGATGAAACATTGATTAAAATTAAGATACAATTAATAAAAAACAAAATTCACTTTAAAGAAAGGCTTTGTGCTTTCTGTTTGAGGTCTCTGTGAAAGTTTTAAAGTCACTTTCAGAGCGGTCATGTCTGTAACGGAGAACTGTCACGTCCGTAAAAAAAAAATTTCCCCTCATAAATGCGAACACGAAAAATAAAATAAAAAGAATATTTTATATTATGTGGAGGCCGACCCTTTTTCATCCGGAGGGTATATTACTTTTGTTTTGCGCAGCGTAGTTCATAGAATTACTAAAAAATATTTTGCCACCTAAAAGTTAAAGATTTTTTGTGTCACATCCTCATATTAAATATAAAACGTGTATAAATGTGTAGACTGATATTTTTCTAATGTCTGGACTCCTTTATTAAGGGAGTATGAATATATAAACAGACGTTTCAGTATTAAATGCATTTTCTGAGAATTTATATTTCAAGGTTTGACTGCAAATGTCACGTCCATAACGCTGGATTGCCCAATTTTAAAGAATTTATCCTGAACTAGGTTTTTTTTTTTTGTTGGTGTAGGTCACGTATTTTATTATGTTAACTTCAAATAATACTAATAGTAATTTAAAAATGTGGTAGCCCTACGTCTTACACTTCACACTCCACTGTTATGGTGGCAATTTCAGTAGATTTACTCACTAACATTGTTGTGGAAACACAATAAGAATGGAAACTAAAATATGGTAGCATTGTGATACAGCGCACATTATATCAGCTGCAGTTCTGGCGCCTCAGTCCCATTACTGTAAAACTCGACGTACATTCACATCACATGTTCACATGTTACACTCACAGGACACTGCACTTATTCGCAATCCCAAAAGTTCATTATTTGCTCGTGCTTTAAAGCTTTGCCGGGTAAACATTTCATTGGCGTTCTGTTCTAATGCACTTTTTCTGAGCGCGTACTGAAGCGCGCGCGCACTGCAGACAGCGCCAAACTGGATTTGTGTTGGGTCAGACCCATCTGATAGCGATGGGGGGCCTTTCCATAAATACCGACCGGTCCCTAAGTATATACAATACGCAAAAATTTCCAATCAGTGAAATGTCCAAAATATTCCAATGTTAAATTCTGAGACAACAAAATAAAGTTTACAAAAAAGAGCTTTTATTATATAAAGACAATATTATTGTTCCTCATTGCAGTTCAATAAAACTTTGTGTTTTTGAAGAGGAACATAATCGCATGAAAAAAAGAGCTGGATTATATATGCAACAACTGTCCTTTTTAGTACATTTCTACATTTCATAGTTTATGGCTAATTTTTCACCAAGAAAAATTTACATAAATTTATCAACATTTAAGAAATACGCAGTTAAACAAATGCGGGTATTTTCATTGAACTCATTTGACCTTCCCCATATAACATTTACTCAGATGCACAAACACAGGTGTGAGATTTATTTATAATGTAACTATGAATGAATATTTTGATAGAAGTATATTTAGAAAAGTTCTGATAAAGCCATATTTTCCTGCATCATCACTAGAGAAGCCTTGGGCACTAGACTGGAGAGTCCGAGACCAGGTGGAACAGGAACCAACACGAGACACACAAGACAAGACTCAACAAGCCAAGACAACAAGATAAAAAAGCAGAAACTAGACTAAACTAATGACTAAAGATTGCTAAAGAATGAAAGGTAAAAACAAAATAATAGAAAATAAGAAAATAATAATACAAAACTAGATAGCAACAATATCAAATATGGAGAGAATCCAAAATAAGAACTAAAATAACACACACACACACAAGGATCAGGTGAACACAACCAGGCCAACGAGGACTAGACAAGGACTAAACAAGGGGCCGGGACTAGAGGAACTCATGGCAAACACACACAAAGACAAAGACATGTGCTCAGACACAACACAAGACAAACAAGGAGACATTGAACAGAGACACAACAGACAAGACTGTCAGGACAGGATCCGGACACCAATGTTCAAAAGTGGTAAAGCTTCTCTTGCTGAAGAACTGAGATGAGTTTAGCTTTCACAGCATCACTGTGTTTGCTTATAATGTCACAGATCTTTCTCATGCTCTCCTGACTGGTTACACTCTGTGTGATTTCTGAATATGTTTCCCTATGAATTAGTTTCCACTGACACAGGTTATCTGCAATGATCTGGACATTAGTAACGCCCTGAATGAGATCTGACCAATGATTATCAAAATATCTTGCTTTATCTGCCTCACTATTCAGACGCGGCTCGTTTCTCTGAGGACGAATCAGATCGAGTTCATCTTTCTCAATCGTTGCAGTCCAGACGGTCTTCTGATCCTCTTCTCTGATGAGAGTCATTTGAAGATCATTCTCCAGACGAGTCTTGACCTTGAAGAAGTTTGGGGGAATTTCTCTTGTGAGTGTGATCCCTTCTCTGGGATGGATAGCGGCGGCACCAGAAACATCAAGCATGTGGAACGTTCTCATCCGGAGTGGCCTGCCAGGTCTGGGATGCTCTATTAGGTAATTGTTCTTTTCTTTCTTCTTAACTCTTTCTTTTTCACACTCATCAAATGGAAAAAGGTAGAGATGTAGAATGAGAGGATCTTGAGAACGCATGTAGAGAAGAAGATCGCAGTGTTCGTCCCATCCCATTATCCAACTTATAATCAATGTTATAAGAGAGAAGGATGGCTGGACAATCTTGGCATGGAATCGGGTCAACTGCACAGGTTCTGTGGTTATTCCCTCGTCTCTTACGGTGAGCACTTTCACAGCATCTTTGAGAGAGGGGTCAGACTCTGCTAAACAGGCGTAATGGGGCAGATGAACTTCCTCCAGTTTCCCTGAGATCACCGTCACGTCCATCACTGGAGCGATCCGGTTGCAGTGCAGCCTCTCCAGCTCTGCGTTGAGGAAGAGTCCGTCTACGGTCCGGTACTGAAGGCTGACGACACAGGCACAGACCCATCGCATTCTGGTCCTGACACACTCGTAACGGCCTGGGCCAGTGCGGACCCTGAACTTTGACCCTCCTTCATCTGTACAGGCCGACGGCTCAATCTGAAGCCACTGATCAGAATCAGCTATATGGACACAAGACTGGCAGTTCAGCAGCGGGTGAATATCCAGCCCAGAAGGTTTGGGCTCAGAGAACCTGTGAAGAACCAGAAGAAGGCAGAAGCAAAGAGTCAGGGGGGTTATGCTCAAACAAGATTCAGTGTTGAATAATCTAATCAATAAAACTCACCAGTGACTGTAACTACGTTAGTTAGCATGAACTAACAATGAAGAACACTAAAGTGTTTATTAATCTCAGTTAATGTTTATTTATACATTATTAAAATCAAAAGTTGTATCTGTCAATATTATTTAATGGACCTGAACTAACATGAACAGTTGACTATAACATTAACAATTAATGCATTAACGAATGTGAACTAATGGGAGCTTATTGTAAAGTATTACCAACAATTCAAAACCAACAACATACAAACAGTTTACTATAAAACAAACTATTTAACAGGCAGTTTGACAGAGAAAATATAAAGCTAGTATATAATGCTGTGACTGACACCTGTGATGTCACTCACTAATAACAAACACTCAAATATAACAAGCAAATATATACTATAATGAGTTTAATTCACACATCATTGTCAAGTTATGTTTATGTTCTCTATGTTTAACTAGAATACATGAACTCTATATTCTCCATCAATAAGCTGAAGGTGAATAATGTGTCAAGTCTTCTATAAATCAGTGTTTTAACTGTGGATATTTTCACAGAGGTGTTCAGACAAAGAGCATCAGCAGTCTGTGGTGGACAGAAATGTTCATTATCACACATAATAAATGAGTTTGACTGTAAAGAACTGTTTTACTGCGCACAACACAACTGTCTACAGTTAACTGTGCTTGATTGTAATTGAGCGAGTGCTGGAATAGATCAAGTAATACTGAGTGAATTTGACTATTTCTGTCTTATTCCTCGTCTGCAGGAATATTAATAGAGAACAAGATCACACTACAGCTGGAAAATACAGAAAACTAATAGCAAATTACAGTTTAGAGATCATGTGTGATCAGGAGCTTTTGAGAAATATCAGTAAATCAGTCAGAGACCTCACAACTCTGACACTGAATGAAGAAATAGATTTAGCTCAAAACTAACTCAAATTAACAATAATGTGTTTATAGTCCCTGCACAGGAGAGACTTTGTGTTCTTTCCAAACAAAGGTAAATATATATGTATTGGTACTGGCCAAAATACAGTATGATGAGAAATATCAGCATATGGAGTATCAGCAAAAACCCAATATGTGCATCTCTAGTGTTCAGTGACGTATGAAGAGCAGAGGATTGAACTATTATTCAGTCTGGAGAAATCCTTCACTAACACACAGTATATTTCACTCACCCGGGTGTGTGTGTGTCACTGATGTTTCTCTCAGGACGCTGTTTAATGTCACACAGAGACAC